AACGTCATCGTTTGGCTCGGAAATGGAATGGGGATGGGGATGGCATTCTCACGCCCTTAGCTAAACATTTATTTTGCTAATAATTTATTTATATGCCCTGTCAATATACATGCTGTAAGTACACCACCCACATTTGCCCAACATTTTTGCCCCTCGGGGCGCACACACAATTTGCTGAAATAAGCAGAAAGAAACAAAACTGTTACGGCAACAACGAATTGATTTGCTTTATGGAACGTCAACGCTAGACTTATCCACGTTTTTTTTTCGCCCGATTATTATGCACCCCCCTCTCGATTCACCTCCCCCTCCCCCTTCGTTGGTAAGACGTCGGTTGTCGTTGTTGAGTCAGTGACTCATATCATTATGGCGCCCATGTCCTGAGGCGCCACGCGCCTGTCTCCACCCACTCGCCACCCCTCCACTTGAACATTTTCCGTTTTTTTTTCTTGAGTTCCCTGAAGAAAGAGGGTATTTAGTATTCGTTATTAAAATGCTATTTCTACCATTTTTAATTTAAATTAATAAGTCTTATTTATAGAGTTTGTAAACTATCTCTGGTTATTAAAATGCTAGATATACAATTACAAATTTAATTACAATTTAGGATTTGTTGGTAAGGTAAATGATTTTAATCCACAATCGCTGAATATTTAAATGCTAGATTTACCTTTTATAATTTAAATTAAAGATTCATATATAAAAATTTTTGGTAAAGTGAATAATTTAAATCCCCAATCTCTGGATATAAAAAAGGAAAATATACGACTATTAATTTAAACTAAAGATTTTTATTTTATAGACTATTTTTTGGTAAAGTAAATTGATAAAAATCTTTGACTAGTAGGTAATCCCAAGTCGAAACTCTCAACCATTTTTCCCCATTTCTCGTTATGTCTGCCAAGAGCCACAAACCGCACTCGATTTCCACATGAATAGGCCAGGCCAAGCTTAGGATCAAAATGGAAATGAGTCGAAGACGGCGATGGAGGAAAAGTGTCTGGGAGGAAAGTGGGGGGATACCTGGTCGCCATCTCGGGCATTCTTTCATTCATTTTTATTTCCCTCTTCTAGCCGTGTTTGCCCCATTGATTAATGCGTAAATATGCGTTCCATTGCTCCGAGTTTCCTGTTTGTTGTCTGTCCTTGACTCAGCTGCTTTTCAGCTCAATCGAATTGAATCGAATCGAATAAGGACACTTTTAAAGCCGGCAGCTGAAGGAATTTAAATACTTGGCAAAATAGAAGAGCTGGCAAAGAGAATTTAAAGTAAGGGACACTAAAATTATTTTAGATTTGTTTTATTTGATTTGACAAGTAACAAAATATATATTCTCAATAACAAATATTTGAACAAACCTCCTTTAAAAAATACGAGATATTATTTTTAATATTTCTCTTTATTAATTTTGCTTGCATTTCTTTCACTGCACAGAATATGCTGATAATTATCTGGAAATCACGTAAACAACTTTGTGACGGCTGCATGTCAGTGCCTCAAAAGCGGCAACAAAGTGTTAACAAACCCGCTGGCGCACCTGCAAAAATGATGGCTTTTTACGGCTTGAGTTCACAGGACTCTCACACACACACACCCATACACTCACACGCAGCCAGGACAGCGATTACGTAACGCGACAAGGGCCATCAATCATATTTAGGTGGATGGAAGCATACATATCCCGAAAATAAATAATGATGCCCATTTGTAGTTGTCGCGGCGGCATTTAACATTTTTAACTAGCCCAAATAATTACAAGGCTTTTCTCCCCCATTTTTCAGCTGGAAAAGGAGAAAGAAAGGAAATAGAAAGCAAAAAGAAAGGGCGGAAAATGAAAGATAACTCGAAAACAATTTCTTATGTGGGATTTGCAGGGCTCGTCGTGAAATTGGAAACGCTGCATGTTGGATGAGCTGGTGAGATGCTGAGCTGATGATAGTGATAGTACCACCCCCTTAACCCCCCTAACCACCCACTTTAACCCCCTAAGTACTCGCATGGAGCTCATCTTGATGGTGGCAGCGGATTAAGCAGCAAAAACGCATGAACCGCCCGGTGACGTCAGAGCGACGGGGCTAGTAACAAAAATAAAGCGCAAAAACACAAAAGGACTGAAAAAAAGCTGCAGCTGAAGCACAAGGATTACGAAAGGATTCGTTTCTAACGAGATTGACAACAAACCGCACTCTAATACATGTGGATCTGCCTGTGTGTTTGGTAGTGTTTGCGTATCATCGGTTGCAGCGTTTTTATTTCTATGCTCTCCCAGATCAAGGATATAATATACCCTTTTTATGATAAAGCGAATATGCGTTTTTCACTGGGTAAGTTATAGATTAACCAGCAAAATTATAGAAGGTATAGAATTCCTTGAAACTTTAAATATTTTATCTACAATTCAAATTAAAAACAAGTTATATATATTCTGTTCAACATTTTCTGTTACCGTTGTTACCTCAAAGGTACCAAAAACTATTCAAAGAATTTCTTCAAAGATTAAAATAATATAGAGATCATTTAATACAATGAAATACATTCTTTATGATTAATTGTTTAGTAAATATCTTTATATTTCCGCTAATGGTTTTAGAGGTGTGTATCTTCTTCTTTAAAATAAAATCCTATTTTTAAAGGGTATCCGATATTCGATTTGACCTCATTTAGGCCACTGGCTTTGCGGTTGGCCGCTCCCCATCCGCCCCCTTTGCCTTTCGCATTCAGCAAACAAAGCAAGTTTTGCCTCATAAAACTAAAACGTTGGATTTAATTTTGCAAAATAAACAAAAGAAGAAGAGAATCCAAAAAATTGGCGAAGGAAATACAATGAGGGAAACTAGTTTCTTGGCACAGATGGATGGATAGTCGGATATCTGCTGCGTAGATCTGATGATTGAAGTGGGAAGCTTTCGTTCGAGCCCATGAATTTTGCGATAAGTAATTCAGGCCCACGCACACAGAACGGCAGGCAGATGGAAAACAGAAACACAAATCCGAAAATGTGAAAATGAAGAGAAATTCATTATTCATTTGGCAGGCAGCAGAATAAAATAGAAAATGCAAATACTGCAGGCAGAGGGGAATGGGGATGGAAATTTTCTGTGGCGTTCAAAATCGTTTTTTGAGTTTTGCTGTTCTGCTGCTTTTGCTGCCTTTTTTGCTGCTGTTGTTGTTTGGTAAAAAAGTTTTCTAATTAAAACAACAACTGACAACGCAAAATTGTCAACGTACAAACATACTCACAAGCGCACATATATACATTTACAAAAACATGCAGATATACAGATGCAGATACAGAAGCACAGATATATTTGCCAACTACAAAATGCTTTGTTAAAACAACTTGCACAAAGCCGGCAAAATGCCGGGGGAAAAGTGGTAGGAAAATGGGAAAGGGGGGAAAAGCTGCCCTTGGCGTTTAGATGGCCCGCTAAAAGGGAAGCGGAGAGGGAAGAGGCTGGTTCTTATTGTTAGCAGTTGTTAGATTAGTTTGACTTTTCGACCCACCCTCCAAACCCTTTTGGCCAAAATGTAAATGTGCAACGAGCGGCGAGAAGGACATCGCAGAGCCGCAAAATTGTCAGTTGATGATGGCTTAAACTGAAATGGAACGGGGGCAAAAAATAAATACAGGGCAGAAAAAAGAGGAAACAAACAGGATCGGACAATTGTTTACATGTAAATTACCTGGGAATAACAGGGGCCAGCGGTGGTGAGCAACGTGGCCCGTTGTGAAAGCCTTAATTAGCCGCTTTCCACTCGCATTTCCACCCAGGGATTTGCGGCTGGGAGGGAGCGGGGAAATGGCCATTTACAAAGGCCAAACATCAGTCAATTCGTTTGACATTTGATCAAACTTTTTGAAAAAAAAAAACAGCTGCCAACTTTAGTTAAAGCTGTGGATTGACTTTTGCTTAGCATTTTGAGAGCATTACACAAACAAGCGTAGAGAGAAAATTGCATATCGAATTGATATGCCGCATAGTCAAAATTGACACTACATAATATCAAATTGATCGTCGATTCATATTAAATTTTTATTCAAGAGCAATTTCCTCTTTCTCTCTGTGTGACTATTTTTTTCAGAACACTTAAATTCGATTTAATTCGATTCGATAGCCTTAAATTTGAATTTTAAAGCACACAACTTTCCCGTACCTAATTTTTGGCAAATGGATTTGCCTTTTAATGTGAATGGGGGAAGGGGATGAAGCCCAAAGCCCGAAACCGAAATGAATTTGCTTTTGCAACTTGTAATGAAAAGTTTTGCATTCGGGCTTCAATCAAATTAATTTGTTTATTAGGAACAGAGAGCTTGGAACTCTAACTCAAACCCAGCTGCGATTTTTGCCGCCATATCTGTCTGTCTGGGCGAATGAATCATAATTTTTATGATTACGTATACGCCGCGTGGGCGGCCACTCATTCCATCATTTCGAGAGCAAATTGCTGTTCTTATTGTTGTTATTGTGGCAATTGTTCTGCGGCACAAACACATCGGCTGGGCGAATGGGTGGCCGGTGGGTGGTAAAGTTATTATTATTTTAACAATTTTCCAACTCTTTTGCGCTTGAGCGGCGCCAGCGAAGGTCGCGTAATTCAAAAGCAATTTGTTGAAATTAAATTTGATTACGTTTATTGCGCGCCAGCTGCTCGGCCCGAAAAACTTTCATCACTTTTCCACGGAGTTTGCCCGTGGAAAACTCTTCTTTAATCGCTCGGTAATTGCCCCAAATTGTGCGACAGAGGGCGCCACGCAAATCACCGATCAAGCAAAGCTTTTCCTTTCCTTTGCCTGTTGTTTTTTTTGCCATTTTCCACTTCCCATTTAGCTCATTTTGCCCACTGACAGTTGAAATTGGACAGGCGCACACAGGATAATAAAGTATTGTTTTGTCAAAAAATAAATTACGTTTCAACTTGTCTCAGTTGAAAGAAATTAATGATAGTTTTGGCTTGAAGAAGTGCAGCTACTCTTGTAAATAAATTACCAAAATAAAGCTGTTTCCAACAGAAAGTTATCTTTAATTGATCGCTGAAATCACAGCTAAAGAACGCATAAAAAATATATTAAGGATTAATCCTTAAAGGCATATGGCGAGGGCTCATAACGCTGCTGAAGGCTCTCCACATAGGGATTGGCCTCATCGCTGGCGAATTCCCGTTTGTAGTCCATCATGGGACTGTTAATCAACTTGGATTTAACGGCTGCAATTCACAGAAATATATCACAGATATTCTAAGGAAAGTAGTTAGACTCACGTTGAAAGCTGTCAAACATGTCCATGTCGAGATTCTCGTCAAAGTGTTCCGCATACTCATGATCCAGCAGCCCCAGCTTTGGTTGGAAGTCCAACTCATCATCCTGGGCCAAATAGCGATCCATTTTATTCTCAATTATCGGCTCCTCGTAGCTGTATTTCGACATCTCTTCGTGGCCATACGAATCCTCTTTAACTGGCTGAATTTTCTCCATTTTTCGCTGCTTGCCGGGCCACGAAAGAAAGGCTTTGAAAGCTAGAGGGGGTTCAAACCAAAAACTTATTTTAAAATAAGAGAGAACGACTAATTACAAAGCTAAAGGAAGTGCGAGCGAGAGGAAGTTATGCAAGTAGTAAATTGACTGCTTGCACTGCTTGCATTCCATTATTTGCTTTGCTCATAACTTTTTAATTAATGGTCCGATTTTAAAATTTTCTTCTACATTTCGATAGGTATTAATAAGCACAACAAAATTGCATTTACATTTTTGTGTAACGCGTATTAGAACTAGTAAAAACTTACGATTCATTGACCGATCGAAACGATGATGTTTGACATCCAATAGTCCCTCCCCTGGGCATTCCATTTCCTTTTTAGATCCATGAACCTGTCGATGGTACATGTCCAGCAAACCCTGGCGATTCACCACAACTGTGGGTAGAATAATTCTTAGTTTCGATATGAACTTCAATATTTTTAGAGATTTTCTGCTTACGCGACGACGGCTTACCCCAGGCGCTGGCCAGGAAAAGCAAGAAGAGGATGAACAGCGGCGTCCAAATGGGCAGTCCAAAGGCAGTCCTTCTATTCATCTTCGATATGTATTTAAATATCTAAATATAATTACTTGAAAATATTATTCTGATAGACAACAGAGTCCGGTTGGTTTCGGACTGGAAAACGTATAGTCAACCGGGTTGAAAGGAAACAAGTAAGCTTGCTGGGTTTATGTGAATATTTCATTTTGTAATTACAAAATAAAAATTAATTTAATTATTCTTAGCTCTCCATACCAAAGATACAAGTGTTCAAGATTCAGGGAAAACTTTCTGCTAATCCGTTACCGCTTAGATTTAGCCATTATCACTTGTTCTTCGCTTTGTGGCGCTTTTGAGCTTTCTCTCGGCCACAATTTTGCCTTATGCGGCTGACCACCTTTGACCCCTCGTTGCCCCACCGATGGAAGCGTTGAAACAAGTTGCCAAAAAGTTAAAGTTTCCCCTTCCCCCAGCTGCCAACAACAAAAGTTGCAGCCCATCAAGTGCCACGCCCACACACAGAGAGCCGCCCACTTGCGTAAACGTTTGCTAACAAGCTTGAAGGGAAAACTATGGGGAAAAGGGGGAAGTTGGGATTCTGAGAGAAACCAACAAACATTTTTGAGGGGGCTCCCCTCCCCCTGCTAACTAAACACAAACGGATATGTGGATAGTTCCACCATCACCACACAAACCTCTCTTCAATATTTTAAAACCCAAACAATTTTGCCAACAAATTCATCTAGAAATCCAGGCACAAAAAAGCTGAGAGATGAGTAACTAACAAAAAAAAAACAAAAAACCAAAGAAAGAAAAAAGCAAAATGAAATGTTTGAGGTTTGCCAAAAATATTTTCAGCATTTCTGTGTGTAAATAGTGAAAAATTGCTGCTTTTGTTGGCCAAAACAAACCGAAATATCTAAAGTTGTTGCCAGTTCTTTCCACCTACCCCTTGCCACCTCCCAGAACTCCTCTTTATTAAAATGTCAAGCCATTAGGAGAGGGTGGGGAGATTTCGGCAATAAAACGGATTCTAACATTTGTCAGTTGTTGTTTCTGGGGTGCCATTAAATGCAGGAGATGCCAACAAAAGCCAACCTGACAAAATGGCTAGCGAAAAGGGGCGGCGGGGCACTCCACTCCTCTCCACATGCCAGTTAAAAACATCTTAAAAGCTACTTTTAACCACAATTATGTAAATATTAACACAAACGAAACATAAGACAAAAGCACAACAGCATAGGCAAAGGCAAAAGCAAGAGAACACATCCGAACCTCCTTCCACTTCTGCATATCTATTCTATTCAGATCCATTCCAAAGAAAAGTCACGAACTCTGGGAATATTGTGACTGTAATCACAAATTCAGAAAATACAAGCATTTTTAAAAAAAATATTTATTTTCTTAGTAATTTAACTTAAACTTTTTTAACTGCAAAGAAATATTTTAGTAGTTTTTTTTTTCTAACACAGAAAAATAATTATTTTTTTTATCAGTATAATAAATCTGAATATATCCGTGACTTCAGGGGAGAAAATCACAGGTGTCACTCATCACTGAGCCTAGGAACTTTCACAGGCAGAACAACAGAATCAAGGTGGAAAAGTTGGGGGGGAGGGGAAGGGGCGGTGAGGGCCAGGTAGAAAGGCAGAAGCAACAAACGGGTGACACATAAAGCCAGCAAATGTCTGGAGTGTCGACAACACAGCCATTAGCATCTGGATGAGTGCGAGATGTCCCGCCCACCTTTCGCTTTTCTCCACCTTCGCCCACTTTTCCCGCAAGGTGTTGAAGTTAATGTCAGCCGAGTGTGCGTGTGTGTGAAAGAGACATAATCCCCAAGATGAAGGCGGTGTTAATAAGCAAAGAGGCGGCGGAAAATGCGGAAAATGGGGGAAAATGGGGGAGGGAGAGCCAGCTGGCTGCCATTATTATTGAAAACTGTTAGACATGACAGCAGGTCACGTTTTGTCAGGCCACGCCACTCAGTCAGCCAGTCATTCAGGCAGTTCCTCATTCACTCACTCACTCACCCGCTCACTCACTCATTCATTCAGCCAGCCAGTCAATGAAATGAGCAAAAGAAATGCAAAAATGCACAGACGACAATCCGTTTTCATGGCTGATTTAACAGAGTTTGAGTTTGGTTTCGTTTCGTTTCGTTTGGGCTGGGATGGAAATGTCCCCCGACAGAGACTGAAGTTGAATCCGGGAATCCGGGAACTGAGCTCCGGATTGGGATGGCAAACATATCGGTATGGGCTGTAGATGCAACTCATCCCCGTGGAGAACCGACAAACAAGTTAAGGGACTTAATCTGCAAAGGTACAGCCGAAAATACCCTTTGGATTATATGGTTATTTATTTATAATACAAAATTAGACGCAAAAAATGTTGAATATAAAATAAAAACGTTGGTAATTAGTTTAATATTATTATAATAATATTTTGTTGTCCATAATTAAAAAAATTTCATGACCATGATCTTAATTTTTTTTACTGAGTATACTAAGAATATTTCATTAATTTATAGATTTTGTCTTTTAATTTAATGAAAATAAATACAAAACCCCACTTTGTATAAATAACCTTTGATAAAATGATAAGAATTTCCCCCCTCGAAAAAATGTCCTGCTACTTGTTGCCAAAAAAAAAATGAATGAAAATTATTTCATAGCAAATACAAGGCGAAGAGAATGGAAAACCGAAATCACATTAAGCCAAAAAAGAGCCGGGGAAAGTGGGCAGCAAAATAGGGGGTGAGGTGGGGTTAGCAGTGGATAGGAAACTAGCGGAAGGTCCCTGTACAAATGCCAATCCAGTCACGGGTTCTAAAAATCAAAAATTTGAATTTCGATCACGTCTTCAATTACGTCGAATCGACGTGCATATAAATCAACTCTGTAACAGGCCCCACACACACACACAGAAACACACATACTGTGTTTATACGATGCCGAATTCACGCTATCATTTCACGCTTTCGGCCGATTCGTGCTTGTATAAACGCCATTTCGTGAATTCGGCAACACACGAAAGTTGACTATGATTTCAGCCCAAAAGCGTGATTTGGTGATATGCAATCTGGTAACTCTGTAAAAAATGATTGACGTTGCCAGATCGCTAGAAATTGAAGGCCTTTTATAGGCCATTTCTCTAATCAGTGGTATTACAAATTAGATTTTTTACCGGTCCGGCATCCCTATCAGCTGAGAGTGAATAAAAGCATGAATTCTCGGCTGTCGTATAAACAGGGGCAATTTCTATATCGCGCTTTCAAGAAATCGTGATTGCTATCGTATAAACATAGTAACAGACACTCAGACAGGGGGGCGGTGGATGGTGGGGCCTATGGGGGCGTGGCAGTCAGTCGTCAGTCAGTCAAATGCGGTTTTGTTGTTGCTCCACTTGCCCCTTATCCCCGTTGTTGCGTTGAGTTTTGTAAATCAAGTGGAAACGCCACACAGGGCAAAAAAAAACAAAGCACAGAGTTCGGAGAAAGCGGGAAAATCGGGCAGGAAAACGGGTCTGGGAAAGCGAACCGCACCGATGACGATGGCGATGATGATGACGATCTGGTGGAAAAGTCGGTGGAAAAGCACAACCAAGTCGAGGAGTCCAGAGTTGAAGTGCTGATGTGGCACAAGTGTGGGCGTGCCACGCCCCCTAACCCCGCCCATTGTTCAATCGACGCCCCTGGAACCCGCCCCCCCCCCTCGCTGAGCACTCATGCTAAGTGCAGTAGACATGCGGAAATTGTAGGTGCAGCCACGCCCACCGCCCTTTCAAGGACACCAAATAATCGTCGTTAAATAAAATAAATTAAAAAATAAAGTCAAAACTGGGCGAAAAAAAAAGAAAAATTGAGCCATACTATTTATTTTAATACTCATATATTAATAATATTTTCTAATATCCATTTCATTCATTAGTGTTTTAAATTTATTTAGAATTCTGTTTTAGAGTGTTTGAAATATAATATTTATTCATTTTCCATGGGATATCCTTTTTGATAATTTAATGGGATTATAATTATAGGAAAATATCATATTTAATTTCATTTGACAAAAATTATCTGGAAAAAGGAAGACCGGAAATTGTTCTCTACTTTGCAAAAGGCGGGAACAGGTTGAAAGGGGGGCAATGCCTGTCAGCCAGCCCGAATTATTTGGCATTAAAAATTGTAATTTCTGGCCAAGACAAGCAATCGGGAACTTGTTGTTCAATTTCCCCCCATCACGCTGATTATCCTGGCACTCGCACACACACATGACGCCACACTGACATGTCCTGGTTGTTGTTGATGTTTGTCGGGAATTTGATTTGATTTCAGGCAACCAGGAACTGCAACTGCAGCAGGAGTTGTCCTCGTCAATGTTGGCACTGCAACCTCCATTTCCAGCTCCTGCTCCTGATCCCGATCCTTTGCCTCCGTCAGCTCCTGCTCCTGCTCCTGCTCCATGTCCTTCTGCTGATGCTCTGTAAAATGTCCTGGCCTGCCATTCGCTTGAAATTACTGACAACAGCTTCAAGCAGCGGCAAAGTTGAATTTGCATTGCCCAGAGCCGAGTGTGTGTGTGTGTGTGTGTGCGAGCGGGTGTCCTGCGAGTGTGTCTGCGTAAGTGTCTGTGTATGCGAGAGATGTCAGTCATTGGCACAAGTGCATCACACGAGGGTAGGTCAAGATAAAGGAGAAAATCATTTTTGTAGGAAGCACAAAAAAGTTTTTATCAATTAATTAAAAATTGAGAAGTTTTTAGTTATTCTATTTCCTGTAATAACACCCTATATGTTGATAGCTTAATCAAAACACAAACCAACTTATTGCATGAAATTTTTTTTTTATATTTCTCAATAAAAGTATTATTTGGATAATTTCTTTATCTAAAATGTACAATATTTTTATATTAAACAAAAATAGATATACTTATAGATACTTTAGACTATATCAATATCATTCTTTTTATATTCAAACATTTTTTTAGTTTCACACACCTGACGACCCCGAATGTTAATATACAAGAGGAAGACCCGAAAAAAAGCAGCATCTTGCTACACATGCATTTGTCTGCAGCCTGGCCCTGGTTTTTCCCCCATTTCCTTACCAGTTCGTCCTTC